TTTATGTAGGTACATTTACATATTTTTCACTTTTAACATAAATGTCAAGACAGATATTTTAAGACAACAAACCAATTTTTTTAAGTTATTATGAATGGATAAAAGAGACATCTTCTTTGAATTCAGTACTAAAACTTGACATTTCCAAATCATTTCATTATCAAAACTTTATACATGTTAACTAGCTGCGGCTTATCGTTGATTTTTAATATACATATATATATTTTTTTTTTGATGAAGGCGTTGGCCATTTTCTTCATTAAAAAATCGTCGAACATACTNACTTTTTAATTTGCTCATATGCATGCATGCATACATAGATTCCCTTCAAGACCAATGCTTTGATGGTATTCACGGGAAAGTTTATGTAGGTACATTTACATATTTTTCACTTTTAACATAAATGTCAAGACAGATATTTTAAGACAACAAACCAATTTTTTTAAGTTATTATGAATGGATAAAAGAGACATCTTCTTTGAATTCAGTACTAAAACTTGACATTTCCAAATCATTTCATTATCAAAACTTTATACATGTTAACTAGCTGCGGCTTATCGTTGATTTTTAATATACATATATATATTTTTTTTTTGATGAAGGCGTTGGCCATTTTCTTCATTAAAAAATCGTCGAACATACTTATATAATATGGAAGAAAATTACCGACATCGTCAAAAATATGCCATACATCAACTGTAAATCTCAGCTACTATAAATGTGCACGTTATTAGACTAAAATTGAATGAGCTAAAAAACTGCAAAATATTAAGAGATAAAATTGAAATAGAAAGTTCGAAATTTTTACGAAAGTTTTTCGACTTTTTTTAATGTTGTTCAAAGATTAAACTTATTTTCATTTAGTGGTTGTTAAGGAATAAACTATATTTTTATAAACAAATAAATCAAATTAAAATATAATAAAATAAATAGTCAAATCTAGTCAATATGTGAGTGTCGTAAAGTTATGATATTTAAGAACATCTCTTTCTTAATTAACGATGACACTGTTTCTATATGAAGCTGATTTCAACATTTTGTTTTAATAAAATTTAGTATCGAAAATATTCTTTCAAAACTTGCCTAGGAATGTGATATAATGATTCGTTCAAAACCTTTTTTGGAAACTTATAAAGGCAAAAACGAGAAGGCGAAGACAAAAAGAGAATACAAAAATTTCCCGCAGTGAATTTTCAGATTTTTAAAACGGTATAGTAATTTAATTTTTTAAATTTAAATAAAGCATGAATACCCTATGAATAAACGAGTAGATAAAAAATATATAACGGTAAAACTGGCACATACGTAAATATATGAAAGAATGCACTCAGGCGACGCCTCTAGCCATTGAGTGTCACAAATTTAAGTTATCGATGGAAATTTTTTTTTCAATCCCCCTAAAGCCAAATCCTGGCTACGCCACTGAATAGACGTTGTCTTGCTACAGACCGCCTTCTGTGTACGTATGTACATTAGAGATGCCGTTTTTAATTCGATGATCGATTAATCGAGCCCTTCAGATTCGATTTTTTGCAAATTTTTTTAGTTCCGATTCGATCCATGAATGGATCCAAAAAATTCGAGAATCGACATTCGATTATCTTTCAATTGATGCATATCGCACTGAGCGTTGCCGCAAGTTTAAAAAAAGTATCAGTTGCCAAGCAGAAAAAGTATCTAAAAGTATCGAAAGCAAACACAACTGTTATTTTTTAAACAATTATTTGGAAAACATATAATAAATAAAATTTAATGAAATAATTGCGCAACTCGAGACTTGTAAAAGTCAATATTGTGGAAATTACTACACAATAAAATTTCGCAAACATTATTTTGGAGAAACGTTGCTCAAGTAAATATGTGCAATAAATATGAATGTGCGTTGTATATTTTGATAGCTTTAGTTTTAAAACGCAAAAAAAGAATATCAAAAAAAAATAATTTTTTTCTACGCTCTCATCAATATTTTACAGCATGATCTGTAGCTCATTTATGTAACCAGGTTTTCGAGATATTTGAGCCTAAACATGCGAAAACCCCGACTTTTTGCTATATTCGTCTGTATTTTCATCTAGAAGAGTTCATTTTTTTAGAGAATTTAATAAATCATTTGAAAGTTAAATATTTCCCCTTGATAATGCTGTTTAACTCAATGAGATATCTTATTCTAAACCTGAAATATTGTCCATTGAAGTTTATGCGTTTTGCGATATTACTTCTTTGCACAAATGCTTGAAAGATACAACACAAAAAAAAACAGATTTGTGGTATACGTTTAGGCATCTTTATTTACATAATGAATGTATGTGGATATTTTTATGTATATTATATATCATGTATATCATATATATATCATGTACTTCACACATATGTATAATATCAAATGAAATTCCTAAATTTCTCATGCATTCATTATGTAAATAAAGACGCCTAAACGTATACCACAAATCTGTTTCTTTTCGTGTTGTATCTTTCAAGCATTTGTGCAAAGAAGTAATGTCGCAAAACTCATAAACTTCAATGGACAAAATCTCAGGTTTAAAACAAGATAGAGTTAGACAGCATTATCAAGGGGAAATATTTTTCTTTTAAATGATTTATTCAATTTTGTAAAAAAACAAACTTTTCTTGATGAAAATACATGAAGAATATAGCAGAAAATCGGGTTTTTCGTATGTTTAGGCTCAAATATCCCGAAAACCTAAGCCAATAGGGCAAAACTGATTTTGGATTCAGATTCAGCGCAACGAAAACCTTTAGAAAAGTATAAGCTAATCCCAGGGTGTGAACTTTTTTTAAATTTTGTAGGCCTGTGTTATCGATCGGCGAATTCATATCTCAATTCGCCTTGGTAGAGAATTGTTACAGAAACGAGCTGCTGGACACCAAAATCAAAACTAGACTAAAAATTGCGTAGTTGTCGCCATACGCAACACGAATTATTTTACAACAACACAAGCATGAGCAAAATATCAAAATGATTTTGATTTTAGCGCAATTACTGTGCAATTTAGTACAAACAACCCCATACACCATACAAACAACCGACGCAATCCCGATATTGCGCAATGTTTTTGTGTGGTATAGGGGCCCTATAACAGCGGCGTGTGCAAAGAAATTCCGGGTTGTATTTCCCTTATAAGAGTTACCAAATTAGACTTATATATGTGGCACCCTGTTGCATTTCGCAACTCCTACCTCATCTCAACTTACATTTCCTTTTTTGGCACGACGACTATATTTTTAGACCGAAGTTTTTCCTTCTTCTTTCTCGAACGTTCATCCTGCACGGACACGCGGCGACTCTTAACCAATAAAACCAATTTGTAAATTAGCACTTCATTAGTTAGTAAGTGAAGATTATTGAATAAACTAAAGTTGAATTAACTTAATCCTTGAAAGCCACGGGTTATTATTTAGTGGAAGATAGCTCGCTCGCAAACTTCCCAAAGTGGTGACCCCGGTACTCGTGGCATCGGAAAATCGTAACGGAACTTATTAACTGCTATTAAAGTTACATAGCCCGATCATACGATCAATTTGATTAACACACGTGGGGCCTTATCCAACTGAGATGACCCACGACGACACAACCAAACCGGTGGCGACCGATTCGACCACCACTCCGGTGGATGCAGCTCCAGCAAACTTTGTCGCTGCTGTCTACGCTAGACTACCAGTGCCACCGATGGCCAGCGCCAACATCGAGGCGTAGTTTACCACAATGGACTTCTGGTTCACGGCCTCTGGCATCAACACCGACAAGCAGAAGACCGCAACAATTTTGGCCGCGTTGGACCCAAACGTGGTGGGACAGTTGCTCGACGTCATCACATCTATGCCGCAGCAAGATAAATATGAATTTATCAAGACGAAAATCATCGCCCATTTTGCCGATAGTGAGCAGCGCCGTCTCAATCGCCTATTGTCCGAGCTGCCCCTCGGCGATAAAAAGCCATCGGAACTATTTTACGAAATGAAGCGAGTGGCTGGTAATACACTAGGTGAAGCCGCACTCAAGGGGTTGTGGACTAAACGGCTGCCGGAACTCGCTCAACCCGTGGTCGCTGCCTCATCGGGAACCGCCGCCGAATTTACTAAGATTGCCGACTCCGTCGTCGATGCGATTGCACCTAGCCAAATTTGCAGGGTTAAGGCAGAGCCCAACAGCGATATAACCCAACTGCGCGCAGCCATCGAAGAGCTAAGCAAGCGGTTCGACAGACTATCAGCGCATTCGCGCTCTCGCTCGCAAACT